GCCACACACACGCACACGGACGAATAATAAACAAATAGGGAGTCGATAAAAGCGTCATGGCAAACACAATGGAGCCCCGAGATGCCTTTTGTGGGCGGACTCTTCAGGTCAGCTCGCGATGAGGCTCTCATGACCTCTTTGAGCCCCCCTCCCTCCCTTCCGCCCCTCGACCTCTCCCCCCCAGCCCCTCGACCTCGACCTCCCCCCCCTTTCGACCTTTTCCCTCCCCTCTCCCTCTCTTGTTCTCGCACTTCCCTCACCTTCTCTCACCTTGTCCCTCGCGCTATGATATTCTATTCTTCCCCCTCCTCCTCCTCCTTTTTCTTCCTCTTCTCTCTTTCTCTCTTCTTTCTTTTCCTCCCCCTACCGCCCCGTCCTCCTCTCGTAGCGTCGTGGCTGCGCGTTCCTGATACCACGGGTCACAGCCTCTGCAGGTCGGGGAAGCTACTCTTGTGCGCCAGGAATTCGTTCTCGTCGTCTTTGTTAGTCCTCGGCGATTTGACTCTCAATAGCTCGCTTTTTTCCCTCTCCCTCTCGCTCGTCCCGAATTTCTTTTCCTGCGCTCGGACGGGGCAACGGGGCCGCGTCGCTGGACCCTTGCGTTTACAGGCACGGGCAATATGTACGCACACACACACAAACATACACACAACACACACACACACACACACACACACACACACACACACACCACACACCACACACACACACACACACACACACACACACACACACCACACACACACACACACACACACACACACACACATACACACATACACACACACACACACACACATGCATAGATATATGCAACACTACACACACATACATACAAGCACACACCAAACACACACGCATGCATATATATATATATATATATATATATATATATATATATATATATATATATATATATATATATATATATATATATTATATATATATATATATATATATATATATATATATATATATATATATATATATATATATATTATATATATATATATATATATATATAGGTGGTAGAAAAAGCAACAGTTCATAAACGAGATTTACTGAAAATGTGTGTTTTTAGTATCACCACTTAAAGAGCATTTTACCATTTAACATATACATGTATATGCATACTACCCCCCCCCTTTCCCTTCAGCCCAAAACCCCCCCCCCCTTACCCCCCTTCAGCCCAACCCCTTTAACCCGCCCCATCTAACCCCCTCCTTCTGCCTCGCCCGCAGGAAATGATCCGGGAGATGAACCGCCTGGGCATGATGGTCGACCTCTCGCACTCGTCCACCAACACCGTGAGGGACGCCCTGGAGACCTCGCTGGCGCCCGTCATCTTCTTCGCACTCGGCCGCCGCGCCCTCTGCGACATCGAGAGGAATGTTCCTGACGACGTCCTTAGCTCTCTGGTGAGGGAGAGGGGGGGGAGAGGGAGGGAGGGAGGGAGGGGTGGAAGTGGGAGGGGGAGACGGAGGGGGGGTGGCTGGAAGTGTGAGGGGTGGAAATGGGAGGGGGAGGGGGGAGGGGGGAGGGGGAGGGGGAAGGGGGTGGCTGGAAATGGGAGGGAGAGAGGGGAGGGAGGGGGAAGGGGGTGGAAGTGGGAGGGGGAGGGAGGGAGGGAGGCGGTGGAAGTGGGAGGGGGAGAGGCAGGGGGGGAGGGAGGAAGTGGGAGGGGGAGTGGGAGGGGGAAGAGGGAGGGAGGGAGGGAGGGAGGGGGGGAAGAGGGAAAGGGGGAAAGGAGGGAAAGGAGGGGGAGAGCGAGCCGAAAGGATGACAATAGGAGGAGGAGGGGAAGGAGAGGTAGATAAAACCGAGTGTGTGTTTATATCGGAAGCATACATACATACATACGCATTAGACATGGACACCACACATACAACATATATATATATGTATATATATATATTATATATATATATATATTATATATATATATATATATATATATATATATATATATATATATATATATATATATATATATATATATATATATATATATATATATATATATATATATATATATTATATATATATATATATATTATATATATATATATATATATATATATATATATATATATATATATATATATATATATATATATATATATATATATATATATATATATATATATATATATATATATATATATATATATATATATAGAGAGAGAGAGAGAGAGAGAGAGAGAGAGAGAGAGAGAGAGAGAGAGAGAGAGAGAGAGAGAGAGAGAGAGAGAGAGAGAGAGAGAGATAGATAGATAGATATAGATATATATAGATATATGTGTGTGTGTGTGTGTGCGCGCGCGTGCATGTATCTGCACACGACCACTCATAGAAACGAACGTTTGTGACATCAAATATTTCTTCGCGTCGTCCCCAGGCATCGAACCGAGGGCTTGTGATGGTGAGCTTCTACAACGACTTCCTCACTTGCGGGAAGAAGGCGACCATAAGAAACGTCATTGGTGAGTCTGACTTCTGAGTCTGATTTCTCTCTTGTTTCTTTTCTTGTTGACTTGTTTTTTGAAGTTTATATTTCTTCTCTTCTTATTTCTTTTCCTTTTGACTTATTTTTTATGTTTATATTTCTTCTATTCTTATTTCTTTTCCTTATGCATTGTTTTCTGATTTTATATTCTTCTTCTTTTTTTCTTTTCCTTTTGACATTTTTTGATGTTTATATTTCTTCTCTTCTTATTTCATTTCCTTTTGGCTTGTTTTTTATGTTTATATTTCTTCTTGTTTCCTTCTCTTTGACTTGCTTTTGTATGTTTATATTTCTTCTCTTTTTACTTCTTTTCCTTTTGACTTTTTCATGTCTACATATCTGCTCTTCTCATTTCTTTTCCTCTCTCTTTTGCCTTTTCTTTTTTTCTTGTTGTTTTCCTCTTTGACAGGTTTTATGTTTCATCACCAGAATATCTGTGTTTATTGTGTATGTGTCGGTGTTTTCTTTCTTTTCATCAAGGTATAAATCCAAGCCCAGAGTAATTTCCTTTGTTTTAGTACAGATCAAGAATAAATGTTCCTACTTTTTTAATCGGAGTTAGAGATAAACGCTAACTTTATTACTTGGTATGGTCGACTCTACAGTGTCATGATATTGTATAATACTGCCATTTTGTGAATCCCACTGGTGGATGTTGGGTCCCGCAGCCTGGCGCCTCCTTTTATTTGGGGCAGCGTAGGCGGGGGTGGCAGTGTCCTGCTAGTTCAGGAGTGAGGCAAGGCTGTGTCCTTGCACCAACACTTTTCAATACTTGCATGGACTGGATACTGGGCAGAGCTACTGTTCAAAGCCATTGTGGAGCAACTCAAGGTTACTGACCTTGACTTTGATGATGTTGCTATTCTATCTTTGAAAACCTTAGTGGTGTTCTGGTAGTGGTCTAGAGGTCTCCTGGACCAAGACCAAGATCCAGGAATTTGGGGACTTGCTAGAACTGCTCGGTTGGTACGTGCTTGCGGCGAGAACATTGAAGTCATATAGAGCTTTACATACCATGGTAGAGTAGTTCATAACTCAGGGCTGTCAGACCAAGAAATCAGCAGATGGATTGGCCTGGCAGCAGGGGTCATGAACTCTCTCGATAAGAGAATTTGGAGATGTCGGTACCTGTGCAGAAGGACCATTCTACGCATTTTCAAGGCCCCGATAATGCCAGTTTTGCCATACGGCAGTGAAACCTGGACATTATCCTGTGCCTTGGTCTCGTCTTGATGCCTTTCGAAATAGGTCCTTTGGCCGGAACATGGGGTACTGTTGGCGGGACCACGTGTCAAACCAACGGTTGCACCGTAAGACTGGCGCACTGCCAGCAGATCCCTTGATCGCCAACTCAGGCTATACGGCCACCTGTCTTACCCCCAACAGGATGATCCTGCCAGGGTGTCTCTGTACGAGACAGCCCTGGGTGGAGGAGACCTGTGGGACGACCTAGGAAGTCGTGGCTTGGGCAGATCGATCAAACCTGTCGTGAGGAGCTCGAGTTGGCCGAGTCCTTGCCTGGCGGCTTGCCATGAGGGATCCTCAGAGGTGGAAACGAAGGGTGGATGCAGCTATGCGCCCTCGTCGGCGTTAGCTCCCCGATGATGACGATTATGATATATTCATCGGTAATAGCAAATTATCATATGTTTAACAGTATTGATGCTGACAAAACTAAGGTATGAATGAGAATGAAGACAAAGGTGTGAATGAGAATGAATTTATCTTGTATTATCAAGACACTTATTCTCTTCCATACATTTTCATCATAACTAATCTTGAATACATCGTGGAATTGTGAAGTTGCTTGAAATTAGGCCTACTCTTTGGAAAATACTCACGGTCTTCCTCAGATTCTAATGCATGTGTTTTCGAAATTGGTTCAGATACTACATAAGCGCAATGTATCACTCCCTATGCTTAAAAAAGCCGTCATCTCCATATGTTTATTTAGTCTCTGTTTCCTCTTTGTTTATTCCCTCTATGTTTATTTGATATATCTATTAATTTATCTATTAGCTCACTTTTCTGGCAGCATCACTAGTAGAAGTATTATGAACTCTATCTCCTGCTCTAATGAAAATAGCCCACAGTATTGAAATTACATATGTTCCGTACAAACGGCCTCGGATTTTATTCGAATTGAACAGACAACTGTTTGTTAGCTGTTACGTGTAAAGCATTTGCATTTCCTAGCTTTGTACATAGAGTATCTATTAACATATTAACAATATACAGCATTCGGATGGTGGAGTACAATGGTTCTCATTATTATGACAATGCAAATAATTTCCTTTGAGTTTTCTGTCCCTTTAATATGATATTGGAGCCATGACGGTTATAGTTTTGTTTCATACGTTTACGTTCTCTATCATATTTTTTTCTTTCCGATATATGGATACATGTTAAACAAGTACAGTCATGTGTAATACGCGATCGAAACATAACGCTTTCAGTTTTTATTCTCTTAAAAAAAAAAAAAAAGTTACACTGAATATTTAAAACCTTTCGGAATATCTGTCGATGGTATTACAGTTGAAATTTCGAAGTAATCGGTTTACAAAATCTTCCACATCTATCGTTCACATCATATCCTCTCGTTCAGACCGTACCGAGGTAAAATAACTATTCAGAACCGGTGTCATTAGTAAAAACTACATAGCGGAAGTTCATCATATATGATAACAAAATAACAAGAGAGAGAGGGAGAGGGAGAGAAAGAGAGAGAGAGAGAGGGAGAAAGAGAGAGAGAGAGAGAGAGAGAGGAGAGAGAGAGAAAGAAGAGAGAGAGAGAGAGGGGAGAAAGAGAGGAGGGAGAGAGAGAGAGAGAGAGAGAGAGAGTGAGGGGAGGGGACGAAAGAGAGAGGAGCAGAGAGAGAGAGAGAGAGAGAGAGAGAGAGAGAGAGAGAGAGAGAGAGAGAGAGAGAGAGAGAGAGAGAGAGAGAGAGAGGACAGAGAGAGAGAGACAGACAGAGAGCAGACAGACAGAGAGAGAGAGAGCACAGAGAGAGAAAGACAAAGATAAAGAGAGTGCGAAGGAAAATCTTATATTCCAGCAAGGTGATAAAACTTATGTTTAACTGAATTTTCAAGTGCAAAATGTATTTCAAATATTTTCTTACTGAATAACATTATGAACTCGTAGGTGTACCTTTTCTCTTTGACAGTAAAGTATTATTTAACTAACAAATGAGCCGGGGAGACAATGAAGATAACAATAATGACAATAATTGTAATAATGATCACACTGATGGCGGTTATAATAGTAGTAATAATAATAATGTTGATAAAAATCATGATAATAATGATTATAAGATGATTAAGATGATAAGATGATATCATTATCAGTATGACTGTTATTATCATTATCATCATTACTATTATTAATAACACTAGTATTTATTATTAATGGTACCGTCATTATTGTCATTATCATTATTGTTATTGTTATTATTATCATTATTATTATCATATTATTATTATCATTATTATTATCATCATCATTATTATTAATATCATCATCATCATATATTATATTTGTTATTATCATATCATATCATATAATTATTATCAGCACTTTATTATCATTATCATTAGTATTAGCACTATCATCATTATCAAGATCATCATCATTTTCACTATTATAACCATACTGTTTTCATTATTGCTATTATCATTACCATTATCATTAGTATCATTATCATTATTATTAATATTATCATTATTATTGCTTTTATTAGTAGTATTGTTATTATTATCATTATCATTATCATTGTTATTGTTATTACTTTATTATTATTATTATCATATTATTTTCATCATTATTATTGTTATTGTTATTATTATCATTATTATTACCATTATCATTGCTATTCATACCATCATTATTATTATCATAATCATTATTATCATAATTTCTACGGCTATGGTAAATTTGATTATTTTCATTATCATTGTCATTAGCAGTAGTGGTATCACTATTATATTTATTACTATCATTACTATTTTCAATATTGTTATTATTATTATCATTGTTATTATTATTATCATCATCATCACCATTATTAGTCGTAATACTACTATTATCATCAGTATTATCATTGATATCATTTTTATCAGCATTATCATCATCATCATTATTGTTATCATCATTATCAGTGTTATTGTTAAGGTTATTGTTATTGCTATTATCATTATCATTTTCATCATTATTATAACCATAACAATAATCGATGGCAATAATAATTATTAAAGATAATAAAACAGTAATGATAATCATTTAGTTGATAATAATCATAATAATGATAACAATAATGATGACGATGAGGATGGTGATGAACGAAGGTAATAATAATGAATATAATGATGATAATAATAATGATAAGGATGATAGCAATGATAATGATAGTGAAAATGATAACGATAGTAGTAATAATAAAAATCATGAAAGATGATAATGCTAACAATCATAAAGTTAATAAACATGATAACGACAACAACAAAGATAACAATAGTAATGATGATGAAAATAATATTGAAAAAAAATTATGATAATGATAATAATGATGACAATAATGATATTTAGGACGATAATGAAATAATAATCTTGATAATAATGATACCAGTTATAAGAACATTAATGATGATAGTGATAATAAAGGATAATGATAATGATATCAATGATAATAATAGTAATAATAGTAAAAATAGCAACGATAATAATAACAGTAATACCTCTGATATCTGTAATATTCGTAATAAGAATCCCAATACCCACATATTAAGCTATCAAGTGAGAGTCATGGCACACTTCCAGTAATGCAAGTAATCCTGTTGTTCCTAAATTTAATAGCCTTAGAGCATTAGAGCCTGAATGTAGAATCAGCGTCCGATTGCGGCAATGAAAGTCACAGAAATTCATTAGACTTCATGAATTCCCGATCGGCAAGCGCAAGTCTGCTTTGCGAATGGCTGACCATTTTTTTTTTTTTTGC